CACTCTGCTGACGACTTCTCGTATCCCGTTTGCGGCCTGTTTTGCAGCAGTGTCTGCCAGGTGGTTGCCTCGTGCTTCTTGGGAATTCAGTCTTCCGTGTGCCCTCACTTTAAGTATAGCAACTTGTGTGGGGAGGAGCAGGGCGTCCATCAGGTCCCTGATGGCTACACTGTGTTTCACAGGTGTACCTGCTGTTGTTAAAAACCCTCTGTTCTTCCAGATGACCCCGAAATCGCAGGCAACACCAAGGGCATACCTTGAATCTGTATAAATATTGACTCTTCTTCCTTCTGCCAACTTACATGGCGTAATTCAGGCTTGGAGTTCCGCCTCCTTTGCAGACCTGGAAGGGGGCAATGCCGAGGCCTGGAGGACCGTGTCCTCAGTAGTAACAGCATACCCCGTGTGGTACTGTCCTGTATGATCAGCGTACCTCGAGCCATCAACGTAGATAGTTAGGTCAGGGTTATCCAGAGGCACCTCGCTGACAGTTGGCCGGATTTCCCGGGGCAGCAGGGAGTAGAGGGGCAGCAGGGGTGTGGAATTCCTATCTCCCGACGGCTGGGACATGCAGTTCCGGGTGCAGGGCGGGTAGTTGTTTTCTACATTTAGCTCCGGTTTGGGCAAGCATGGCTAAATGTACAGCGGGGAAGCCGCTGCTTGTTTTGTACAAGTGATCTCGACAATGTTGCCGAGATCACTTGTATGCATCCTGCATACAGGGGGTCGCATTGAGGAACCTGGCATTGGGGCTGCAGAGAGAGCAAATCCGGCCCTTAGTACGTCCCCCTTTTTCCACCAAAACAGCCCTTACATCCAGGTGCCATTGCAATAAGATAATCAATGTTATTCACTTCACCTCTCAGTGGTCATAATGTTTTGGTTGATCGGTGTAAGTTGATGACATGGTCTCTTTAAGTTGGCAGCACTTCAATTGATCATGCAATTGCGAGACCTATCTTCCTTTCCAGCTGCTCTGCTAACGCCTCTGCCCCGTGTCAGTCTCTGCTCCAAGGTCTAAATGTAAACTATTTGTTACCTAGAAGGCCCTGAAAATGCTGAATGTACTATGTCTCATCCTCTGCCCTTAGTTATAGTCCATTTGTGTCATCCTCCCTCTTTACCTCCTCCCACTGTCACATCCAGGACTTCTCTCCTGCTGCAGCTGTGTTCTGGAATGCCCTCCATAGTTCTAATTCTGAATGTTTCAAGTGCTCCCGGAAAACCCTCCTCTTAATGGAAGCTTGTCACAGTCCTTAGTTATTTGTTACCATCGTGCCTCTTTCTTTTCATTTGTGCACACAATTTTTTTTTTTTTTAAAGGGTGGAGTTGGGCTTTGAAATGTCTATGAGATTTAAAGTGCATTGCAAAGCAACAGGTTTATGTCAGTAGTGGCCCCACCAGCCCAAATCATTATTTAGGTAGGCACCGTGCCCTATGGTGCTGTGTTTGTTGCTGGGCTGTAACCAGCCTGGGCGTTTCTTTACATTTTTAATGGCTTTGAAGGTCTTCCCTAAGCTCAATGGGTTGATTGCTTCTGCCTGAAGGAGGATCTATTAATTAGAGCGAGAAGCCTAATCAAACCCTGAGGAGAGTGTTCAGAGGTAGGGGTTGGGAGATGGTAAATATTTGGGACACCTTTCCTGAGTGTTCTTTCTCTACCTCCTGGACTTTTATCTGGAGAGGATGTGTGTTTAAAATGTCTCTCCACTTGCCTCAGCCTGGGCCAAGTACCAGACGCCCAAGGCCATCTGCTGATGAGGATATCTAGGGGTGCTTGGGCTGGAAGGAATTTTCTTGCTGAAGAGTGTCACACAAGAGCTGGGTAGCTGCTACTGTCTGGACATTGTAAGAAGGATTCATTTGGAAACATTCTCCAATTCAGCTCACTTTCCAGTTTAGTTATGTTGTCCTAAATTGTTCACTTCTCCTCCCTCCTCCAAACTCTTCACCCTTCTGTGATCAACCTTGTATATGTTATTTCATGGACTCTCGTTCTATCATTTCTTGGACATGGTATCCAATTTCCTCAACTTTATTTTCTCTGGCTCTATAATTTTATGGACTCTCTCTTTCATTTCTTGGACTTGTTCTCTATAATATCTTGGACTGTACTACCTCTCTCTATCATTTTTTGGACTCTATCATCTCCCTCTCTCTCTATCATTAAAGTGACATTTAAAGTTAAAAATGTTTTTCCCTCCCCCCAATGTTAATGTCAGCACTTACCTTAAATTATGTTTCTTAATCCGATCTTCCTCTTCTTCTTTCCTGTCCTCTTCTTCTGTCCCTCTAGCGCTGCTGCGGGTCTCCGATCCGGCGCTGACTCCTGAGCTGAGCTTGCTGGCACTTCCTGTCCCACAGTATCTGCATGCGGGCGCACGACGTCTATAGACTTACCTTGTATCTCTCCTTGCGTCCCGGCCGGAAATGTGATCTGCGCATGCGCCCGACCCAAGATTTTTCACATTTTCGGACGGGAGCACGCGGGGAAGACGCAGGTAAGAACTATTAACCCTTTTCAAAGCGGGGTTTTTTTTTTTTTTAATTTTACACTTTTTGCATATATCTTCTGCTTGCTAGCCATATATATATATGCAAAAAACGGAGGATTTTACTATACTTTAATTTGAATTTTTCTGTCTTTTTTCAACTCTCTCTATTTTTTTTCTTGGACTGTCATCTCTCTCTACCTATAGTTGGACTTTCCCAATTATATGTCTCTCATCTCTCTCTTGCTCCATCATTTCTTGAACTCTGTCTTTCTCTCGCTCTCTGTCTCTTTCCTTTACTCTCCTATATCTCTCCATCATTTTCTGGACTTTCCCTATCATCTTTCTTGTACTCTATCTTTCTCTCCTTCTCTAAATCTTTCCTCTACTCTCTTATATCTCTCCATCATTCCCTGGACTTTACCTATCACCTTTTTCTTACTTCTTGGACTCTTTCTCTGTTTCCTTTACTCTCTTATGTCACTCTTATAATTTTCTGGACTTC